GTATGTATGTATGTATGTATGTATGTATGTATGTATGTATGTATGTACGTATGTATGTATGTATGTATATATATACTGTATATATATTCACTCAGACAGCTGCAAACACACATCAATCAGTGCTCATCTGCCTGAACAGGTGGATGTCACGGTGCGGCATTTAAAGAAGGTTCCGGGCAACTGGCAGCAACTGCTTGGTCGTACTCTGGGCAAACCTCTCAAATCCACACTTCTGTCTGGACACAATATTCACAATCTCCAATCTTCTCTCCCCTGTTCTGTGTGGTCACAACTGTTGCCTCCTCCACACTCCCCCAAAGTGCCTGAGACATCTTTTGAAATCTTTTGATTTGAGCCCGACCTCAGTTGGACTGTATTCAAAATTGGAAAGCACATCTTTTGCTGGTCTGCTTCGGCCACCTTCAATCGACTGCCGCGGTTGTGATTGACTGAATCAAGAACACTGCGATTGTTGAGCGTCAGGCTTGACTTTTCCAAGTCTGCAATCTTGGAGTGCCATGTTCAAAAAACTTGCACTATGTAAATTACAATGACGAGGTGATGCGCTTGGTGTTGCGTCCCTTGAAGCGCCTTTGCTTCTTGCGTCGAAAAGGCTGGGTTCTGAACAACCCCCTCGGTCAAAGGGGACCCTGGGTCAGCACCCAAAAGCTGAGCAGCGCCTGAAGTGCAACAAGCTTCCAAATACACCGAGCAGTGGAAGTCTTGGAGTGTTTGGAGCACTGGAGCAATTCAAAGCGGAGTTCATGAAGCACTCAAAAGCACTTTACTTGCGCAAAGGATGTAAAGAAGGGAATCTCAGATCGGAACCCAAGCGAGAATGCACGTCTGCGCTCAGAACTTTGTGAATCTCAGTGGCTCATATAGTCAAATGCTTGCCACTTGGTCTGAGATGCGCACCTCTTTGCAGGATTGCACGTCCTGTAGACTTCGGATTGCAAAACTCTTTGGTCATGGCATGTTCTCAAAGAGCTCTAACAAAAATGTGTCAAGATGCAAAAGTCCAATGAGCCTCTGCCAGCATGGTCTCCAAAGCTTCCTTTGAGCTGTCGAGGCGAGCAAAGGCAAAGCGAAAGGCGTCTGTGTTCGCCTCAAGATAATGAAAAGAAACCATCAAGTCTCATGTCTTTGAAAAGGTTGCAAGTCACAATTCTGTCGGGGAATCAGACACATCGGTCGCAAAATGCATTGCAGCTGGCACTGGGAGAACCGAAACGTTTTGCTGCACGTTAAAAGCTAGTAGTAACAAGTGCATCGCTAGTAGTAACAAGAAGCTAGTAGTAACAGGTGCCTCGCTACTAGTAACAAGTGCCTTACTAGTAGTAACATAAAGCTTTTAGAATTAAATTAGCAAATTGTTGCCCGGCCGCATTGCGCGCGAGCGATCTGATTCTGAGACGTGACTTTGCAAATTGAGGTTGTGACATTCTCATTTTGCTTGTCGGGATGCACACCTCGCTCAGCACTGCAAAGAAACGTAAAACCTCTGTTTGAAGAGCTAGAGTCAAGGACTTAGAGCACTTGCCGATGCCAACAAAGCAAAAAAGTCAACAACTGCATGCTGAGCAACGAACCCAAGTCGTCTAAAGACCAAAGCAAAGTGTTCAAGTGCAAGACATGTGCTAGTAGGTTGGAGGCCATCGCTACTATGTTGGAGGCCATCGCTACGAGCAAACTTGCGGATCAGGGATCTGTGCACTGCTCTTTTTGAAACCGCGATGCCAAACAGACACTCGCAGTCCCTGTCACACATTTACTCAGCCAGCAGGCCGCCCGGCCAGCTTAAAAGCCCAAAATGACTGAATCATGTGTGGGTATGCGATTTCGGTTGGTCAGGCACCAGGCTGCTCTAAGCTGGTGGCTCTAGAACTTTGTACATAGTATGTTTGACATCAATATTCTTCGTGAGACAATCTTGCTTGTGTGCCCCTTTAATTGCCACCGACCATGCCACCATGACCTGAAGCTTCTTTAGCATAAGTCGTCCAGGTGCAGACTCTGTTAGAAAGCTTTTCCTCTGACCCAGAGCTGCAAAATGTGATCTCTAGTCTCTAGAGCTGCTTTGCCAGGGTCGCTATCCTAAGTCCAAAGGCCAAAACATGTCCAAACACACGCTGGTAGATGGCGTTCCTGAATCTTTGCAGAGGCGGGGGACTGCTCCTCTGAATTTTGTACACTCACAAGCCCGAGGTCTCTGATGATAGTGGCATCTGCGAGATCTGCGACATCTGCATAGTTTTGATGGAGATGATCCAGTCCTGGTGTGAGGGTGTGCTTCTGTGCAGATCCTTCAATAATCAAATTGATTGCCTCGCGGCTCTTCAAAGAAGCTGCCCTAAGAGTCAGCAAGTCCTTGGTCTTCTACCAAAGGAGCAGCATCATAAGACCGTTTACTCAGTTTTTACCTTTCCAGGCCAAGGAACGTCTCGGTCATTCACCCTGTACTCCACAATCAAGCATATCTAGGGCGGTCAAACTCTTGGAGGATTGTCTGACAACCCTTTAGCACTCTGAAGCCATAAGTAAGAGTCGTGCCTGCCTCACCCCCAGGTGTGTCCAACGGCTGAACTGCGGTTATGTCTCTCCTCAATCTTGGGTCGAAGAAAACAGCTGTGAAGTTTGCATGCCCAAACTAGTTTGCATGCCCAAACTGCCCCAGCTGCAGGTGTTACTATCTGAGAGATGGACAGAGATGCTACTGTCTGAGAGACTACCTCGAGACTACCTTTAGGCCCTCAGAACTAGAGATTAAAGTCAAGTGGCACGTGAACAACCCCGGCACACAGTTCATCTGTGGGCCGTTTGCCTTAGATAAAAGTGTGTCAATATCATTCGCGGCTAAGCACAAGGGCTGCTCCCTTGCCAAGCATTTACACAAAACCAATGTGCCAAATCACACCACAGCAACTTCCGGACAGGTCCACTCTTCAGGGCAAAATAGTACGATCGCCATCCCCACTCGTTGCCTTCGGACAGCCACTCTGCAAAGGGCCTTTTTGGGATGTTGCTGTGCCTTTCTCAAATCCTATGGCAAGTACACCGAACACACTGATGCTTGCCGGGTACAATGCCAAGACAGCCACTCTTCTGTGAAACTACTGTACTGCTTTAGAAAGGCGTACTGTTTCCTGAGAACTAAAGTGCTTCGGCTGTGCCTCTAAAGTGCTGACGAAGATCCTGCATTTTTACAAAGAAACTCAGACTGCAAGACTCATACGGATACGCGCACAATTCATACAGCATGAAATTCTACAAGTAATGTATGCAAAAGAAAGGCTTAGAAGACTGTGTCGATCAGAAAGCCAATGCCAACATGATCCAACATCCGGCACAAAAAAGTGGGTCCAGCTGGCCAAAGAAGAACGAATCTCCGGCCAGCAAAGCCGCTGTTGGCACATAAGGCAGGAACAAGAAGACATTTGCCTGTGTACCAAGCTTGGGCAAGCTCGGCTGTCTTAATGCTTTTGATAGCCAATCAAGTTTTTTGTACATCACATAATCACTGTTGACATCTTGTGATTCAGATTTGGTGGCCTCCAACCAAGCCAGCAAGCCGACCTTCTTCCGATTCTGATCGAACAGCTCCTGGTGTGTTACTAGAGTCTTACTAGAGTCTTTACTAGAGATAATGTCCCAGTGTTACATTCGTCACCTCAACAAAATAGAAGCGAACACAAAATTTCAGCCAAGCATCAGTGATTGGTTCACCTTCCTCACAAAACATCAGCAGACTAAAAGTAGAATAAAAGCGTGTTCACACACTGATTGCCCAATAAAACAAAACCTGACATATTGTAAAACTACCATGCATGAAAATTGCATGCTATGGTGTGTGCCAAGTTTGAATGGACACTTAGATTATGAGTTTTGATGCTTGCAGCAAGTAATGTGATGATTTTGTCTTCGCGTTGGCTTGTGGGAGTGAAAGACTATCAAGGAATTCATTGTTGAGGTTTTGGAGCCGAATGCAAATGGTTGAGCAGTGCAAAGGCTTTTGGATGTTCTTGTTTCCCTTTATTTTAGCTGGGGGGGCAGGGGCGGTAGGCTGCTAGTAGGCTTATACATATATATAAGCAAGCTAACAAGTAAGGGGTAACCACGAAGCTTCAGTAGCTCCTTAGGCTTGGACGCAGAAGAGCTCAGGCTTAATGATTTGGTTGCTAGATGTTTGTAGATACGTGTATATATATAGAGAGAGAGATAGATAACTTGGACTGTTGCACTGCTAAGCAGCAACGAATGGAAGTGGGAGAAAGCAACAAATGTCAACCTTGGAGAAAAAGTTAAAAAGAACACTGCAAAGGACACAACCAAGCCCTCAAAGCAACCTGGTAAGGTACAGGCACTAGCTGGGAAGAAGCGAACTCTTCAAGTATTGATTAGGTCTGGAGAAGCAGGCTCTCCCTGCTTCTGAGCATGGTCAGTGTGTTAGTGCGTTGCTTTGCCAAGCCCGGCCAATCTCTTCATGACACCCTTGCTTTGGTTCCTTACAACACAAAGTGACCCTTGGAAGCATCTCCAAGTGGGCTGCCGTCAAATGATAATCTTGACTGAAGAGAGTGCGGAGCAGTGCAAAGCAATGCAAAGGGTAGTGCAAAGCAGAGCGTAAGGTTTGCAGTTGCAAACTGTGCTGACTGCCAGAGATCCTGATGAACTCGAAGGCCTCCACTGAAATCGGAACCTCCCCACCTGCCAGCTCCCAAATCGCAAGTGAAAGTAGAAACCTTTTTCACGGGGAAAGCCAAGAACGGCCAAAACATTTGCAATTTGCATAGAAACGGCCTCTCATTGACCGCATTGGTCGCAAACTGCAGCTCCTCAATCAAGCGTGTTCTTGCGGATGTTGGGACATCCAGCCTTACTTGTCCAGCACACCAGCATCCAAGCTGGTGGCACTGTTTCTCATCATACAGCTGAAATGAGGCCCATGCACTATGTCGGACATGCGATGCATGCGAAGAATCACCACCTCGCGCGCCAAGCACTCTGCTTCCGCACATGTGGCAGGCAGCCACTGTGAGGTGCTACTCTGAGCATTCAGTCTCAAAAGTGCAGTCCAGTATCGGTTGAGCAGTGGGAAGATAGAACCTGGGTCGAGCCATCATTATGTCTTACGTGCATCTCCAAAACAATAAGCCGGATATATAACCCCACATGTCAAGTTTTCCTTTGCATCAGAAAGCGGAACAAAAAAGCGGTTGGTAAAGGACTGACAATGGATGAGGCGCGTGATGCGAAAAGATGTGTGTGATGAGGATGAGGATGGGGATGAGGATGAGGATGAGGATGAGGATGAGGATGATGAGGATGATGAGGATGAGGATGAGGATGAGGATGAGGATGAGGATGATGATGATGATGATGATGAGGATGAGGATGAGGATCAGGATCAGGATCAGGATCAGGATGAGGATGACGATGATTACGATGATGACGACGACGACGACGACGACGATGATGATGATGATGATGACGACGGTGATGATGATGATGATGATGATCCGGGTCACACAACATGTTTTTATGTGCACCAACAACATCAACGGCGCAAAACATTCTCGGAACATTGATATTGATATCGACTGTTGGGGGTTGTGTGAGTTGGGTTGGTGTGAGCAAGTCGGTGTGAGTGAACTGTTGGGTGAGTTGGTGTGTGCAAGTTGGTGTGAGTGAGTTGGTGTGATTGGGTTCATGTGAGTGAGTTGAGGTAAGTATGATGTTTCTGAGCGGGAGCGGCGGGAGGAGGACAACGGGAGGAGAAGCGGGGCCGACGGCACCGGATTGCGGCCAAAGCAGTTCCACCGAGGCCGCATGGCCCAGCAACATCACCAACGCAATTTCGCGGCTTCAGACTTGATGCAACCAGGCGAGCCCAAGCCTCATTGACATCACAAGCCCCCTGAGGGATTTTGCCTGGTCTCTATTTGCGCGGGCGCCTCAAAAGGTTTGATACGAGGTCTCGGGGAACAACAACCATAATAACCCAGCAAGAAATACAAAGACAACGGAACAGTAAGCAAATGTCCGAAACTGAACACGATAGCGAACATGTGCCCAACCGGCATCGCCGGTCTGCGAAGCTCTACAATCTATTCCGGCCACGCCGTACCAATGACCATATCAAGCATAGCTTGCTATATGGAGATGCAGCCGATGCCACCGACCTCTTTTCTAGCATCACCAGGGCTCAGGTGGATTCATTCAAAAACGTCAAAAGCACAGTGAAAGTGATCAAAAATGGTGACTGATGAAAAAGTAGCTTCCAAACCTCTTGGAAAATAAAGCGTTGAAAATGGATACAAGCTTAGAGGATAAATTTGGGTCGAGCATCATTAGCATCAGCAGAAAATTCTTGTGCACGACTAGGCAGAAAACACTGTAAATTACTGTGTTTTTGCAACATGTATGTAGTTTATGAACAGCGCTGCTTGTATCCTGGTGACGCCAATGGTGCTGGACACAACTGCTACCCCAAAACTTCCTCTCCTCGTAGCATACTTTCTTCTCTAGAGATAAAGCTTTACAGTAGCCATTTTTTAGCACCACCTGGGCTTATATGGCTTCTTCCAATATCAGGACTGTGTAATGGAAAACGCTGCAAAAGATTCTATTTTTAAGCATGTTTCGCCTAAACGCAGATATTAGCTTTAGGCTAGAAAGTGCTCAAAAATATTCAAAATCATGTTCAGCGTTTTCCACTATAAAGCCCTGATATTTGAAGAAGCCGTGCGCGCGAGCTCTCGCGCGCGCGCGTGTGCGCTAGTGCGTGTGTGCGAGTGCGTGCGCGCGAGTGGGTGTGCGTGCGAGCGCGCGTGCGTTCGTGCGCGTTCGTGTGCCCTCGTGCGCGTGCGGGTGCAAAACTGTCCCAAATCCTTGACCCTTCACCCCTCTAAAACTACCCCAAAGGACCAATTCATAAATACAAACGAGTGACAATCAGGCACACCATTGGCACCAGGGACACAACACAAAACATGCGTAGTAAGTTGAAGACATACAATCTATGCTTAGAAGTGCAGTTCTGCAAGGGCACACGGTTCCCAGTCGACTTTACACAAGCTGGGTCGACTTGACGCTGGTACCTTGTAGCTGCTAGCATGTGGGAGCGACTTCAGTCGTCGTTGACTGGCAGCACGGCCAGTCTGTCCGCCACTGAATGACCCACTTAGGTTGCGCAAGGGTATTCGGTGAAAATGCAGATTTGGCTGGCTGTCTGAACACATCATTCATTGACCCTAGTTCACTGTGGCAAAGCCGACTGACGCTGTGGTGTAGCACTAAACACCACAACGCTAATTGAACTTGCTGGCTGTTGTGTCGACATGAACATGCCAACAT